TTCTATTGTCTAATGAGATGTCCTGGATTATTATCACCAAATATGTTATGATACTAGATCAGAGACTTCCTAAAGGGGTCACACCATGCAAAGGTCATCATCTTTTTAAATTTAACATACATTTGATCATATATTTTACATTGTAGGGCCCTCCTTACCATCTTGATTGTCCCCTGAAATGCATTGGCTATTTCTATACTGTCCCCTCAACCCTATATTCAAAAAAGATTTATCTGGACTATTAAAATTGAGTTTGTAGCTTCAATTTACAGTCCTACAATTTGACAATACAAACCAAATACAGTGGAGATCCTCTGGAATTTTTTCAGTTACTGCAAAATAAAAGATATCTGCATCTCGTCTACAATCTGCCAGTATAGGCCATTGACCTGATATATACGATCCTTAACCAGTTGTGTAAACAGAGAGTGCTATACACAGCTAAACAATTTTTATTGAGATACAAAGGGCATGTGTAGCATGCCCTGCCCTCCGCCTTCCTGGCATTAGCCAGCAATTTCTGTTTCTGTGTAAATCCAGCAGCTATTAAAGCTGTTGCTCTAAAAAACATTGACCTATTGACAGTGTTAAAGGAGAACTATGAGGTGAGTGCTTTTCACTCACCTCATAGTTGTAGCCGACCTGTGACAATGAGACTGTCACAGGTCGGCTCAGTAGATCGGGAGGTGAGCGAACAGTTACCGGCGTTCGCTCACCTCTCGATCCTGTCACGGCAGAGGGAGGGGCTGGATTCCCCACTCCGATCCGCCAGCGCTGACTGGCGGAACGGGAGGGGGCGGGTACAGCTGGCTCTACCTCTAGATAGGCAGAGCCAGCTGTCAGTCACGCAGCTGGGCGGATCACGGCACAATTGTCAGGATCCGCTTCAGCTGCGGCGTCTCAGTATACCGCGAGCTGTAGCTCACGGTATACTGAGCCTAGGGTGACGGGAGGATGCTAGTTTGTGTCCTCCCGTTACCCTAAGGAGAACTATGGGGAAAAGACTTAACCCCATAGTTCTCCTTTAAGATAGATGCAAAATAACATTGTTGTTATTTTTATTTACACTAAGACACCTTCCAAGAACATCCTGGAGTAACCAAAACAAATGTATCACAACATCCCATAGCACAACAGTTTTCTAAGGTACAGTTGGACATTGATGGTTTTATGTGAGCAGCATTTTAAATAAAGATTGTATGTGTTTTTTCACGGCGTACACTATGGCCAGTATTTATTTTTATTTGGGACTGAGATGATCAGAGATCAGATAGTATCTGGCTTCCTGGGTACACGTGTAAATAAAAAGTAAATTGGGAACACTACTGTTTGCTTGGGTATATTTAAATCCTTTCACTATATCCAATAACTTTATATTGTATAACTCTGTGCAGCTCCTATGAATGCATTCCTCTTTTGCTTTGGGGGGTTTCTTGTGGAGGAACCTTTGCTGGAGGGGTGTTCTAGAGGGAGTGGGGATTTGTGCTGTGGGGTTTGCGTAGGGGGGGAATTCTTGCTTTTGGGTAAGAAGGGGAAATCTTTTCTGGATAAGAAGGGGTTGCTGCTGAGGAGGTTGCTTTGAATGGAAGAATTTTTGCTGGGGGACTGATTTTAGGGGGTTCCTTAATGGTAGGGGGGTTTCTGAGAGGATATTTACTGAGAGAGGGGGTGCTTCAGTTAGAGATATTTTGCTGGGGTGGTGTTTAAGGGAGGGGCGTTTTTCCTGGTGAATTTTTTTTTTCTTGTGGGAGGGGAAATCTTGCTGGAGGATCTTTACTTTTTTTTTTTGCTTTTGGGGGGATTCTTGATCAGGTGGGATTTGTGCAATGTGGTGATAGAGTTTTTTGTTGGGGATGGAGGTGATTGTACTGGGGGAATCTTTCCCCAGGGTGGTTTGGTTGAGGGTTTGGCGTTTGGTCAGGAGTCTTTGCTGGGGAGGGCGGTGGGAGATTTTGCTGTTTGAGGCTAAAACTTACAATACGGTTTTAAATTACTGTAGTTTTGTCTAAAGTTCAATAGACTGTATTAGCCAGGTGTGTGCCATTAGATGTAGATTGACTGTTATGCAGTCCATTTAGACAGTATTTGTAAGGTTGAAGCATTTAAACCATTGCTGTCAAGCTGGGAGAATAGTTTACTGTACAATATTGAAGTAATAAAAAGGGAGGCATTTTGTCCCTCAAGTTGAAGTGTTAAAAGTAGAAACAAAATGGACAAGCGTAAGCATTTGAGTGACTTTGACAAGAGCCAAATTGTGATGGCTAGACAACTGGGTCAGAGCAACTCCAAACCTGCAGCTCTTGGGGGATGTTCCCGGTCTGCAGTGGTCAAGGCCTACCAAAAATGGTCCAAGGAAGGAAAACCGGTGAACCGTCTACAGGATTATTGATGCACGGGCAGCGAAGTCCGATCCAATAGAAGAGCTAATGTAGCTCATATTGCTAAAAAAGGTAATGCTGGTTCCAATACAAGGGTCTGAACACGCAGTGCATTGCAGTTTGTTGCGCATGTGGGTGCATAGCCACAGATCGGTAGGGGGTGTCCACACTGACCCTTGTCCACCAAAAGGGCCTACAATGGACACGTGAGTATCAGAACTGGACCACAAAGCAATGGAAGAAGGTGGCCTGGGTGTGTGAGAGAGAGAGACCTGTGGAAGAGATGGCACCAGGATGCACTATAGAAGAAGTCAAGCTAGCGAAAGCAGTGTGATGCTGAGAGCAATGTCCTGCTGGGAAACCTTAGGTCCTGCCATTCATGTGGATGTTACTTTGACACGTGCCACCTACCTAAACATTATTGCTGACCAAGTACACTCCTTCATGGAAATGGTATTCCCTGATGGCAGTGGCCTCTTTCAGCAGGATTATGCTCCCTGCTACACTGCAGGAACACAAGACGTTTGAGGCATTGACATGGCATCTGTGGGATGTGCTGGAAAAACCAAATCCGATCCATGGAGCCTCAACCATGCAACTTACATAACTGACAGGATTTGCTACTGTGGCTTGGTGCCGGATACCAAAGAATACTTCAGAGGTCTAGTGAGTTCATGCCTTGAAGGGTCAGGGCTGTTTTGGTGGCAAAAAGGGGACCTACTCAATGCCTTAGCAAGTGGTCATAATGTTATGGTTTATTAGTATGACGATCGATCAAATATTCTGACAGTATAATCATATCATATAGAACCTAAACAGAGACAAAAGTAAATGAGACACAAAAAAGACATGGAATACAAGGTATGCCGATTCTTTGCAATGTATTTTTTGTTTTATTTTTGCATTGAATCTGAAATTAAAATCTATAAAAAGTCGCATATATAACAGAAGAATTAAAGAAATGATGGGCATTACATCAAAACCTGTTATATCTGTGGAAAGCCTCAACTTTCATAAATATTTATTAACCATACCTACAGAATAGATTGCAATATATATATAAAAAGAAAAAAAAAATCAAACTTTCACAGACAAATATTAAACCCTCCCAAATGAATTGCACTTGAATCTGTTTTATTTTCTTTATTTCACTACAAGAAAATATATCCGCTTTAAAATTTTACAAACCTGGGGTAAGGAATAGGATTTTTTTGTTTACTCACTGTAATTTCCTATTCTTGTTGTGTACATTGGGAGGCACAGTAGACCTATGATCAGTCCCCCAACACAGCATAGGAAAAAAGGCTTTGCTTTTTATTCTTTATTATTATTATTTTAAAAGGGTAAATTAGTGTAAAATCCTCTCCCATAGAGTTCAATGGGGGACGTGCCTTGCTGTAAAGGTCTGCTGCGTCCCCAGTGAATAGGAGAAACAAACATTTTGGATGTTAAAATATTTAAGAGGTTTTCCAGCATTCATTCAAAAAAAAAAAAAAAAAAAATCGGTCTCAAATTTCAACCATTTTCCTAGAATTATGGTGTAGCTTCATCTCTAGCACCTCCTGTAGCTACAATATGGTATTATTATATTACAAATTGGACTGAATTAGATCTGGTCCATACAGCCCACCAAACAAATTAAAATCAGGAAGCAAATCTCCTGCTTCCTGTGTGGGTAATCATGCAGTTCTTAAATGTTTATTACTGCAGGTAACTTTTCATTGTTACTCTTTAAAGACTGTTTATTCCTCATGTACCCCCATTGGCATGGTGTGCCTTAATGTCTTCTATTCCATTACATAACATTTGTTATTTGTACTATGGTTATACTTAAAATATAATAAATACTGATTATACATAGACTTTAAAAGCAGAACTCCAGGAAAAACATCTTTTTGTACATGACGCAAATGAAACATGTTACTTCTAATGAGGATTAACCTAGGTCTGGATCACTGCTGTCTACTACTACTATTTAAAAAAATTATAGTTTTATTGAAGCTTGAAATTATAGCCAGCACTATACTTCCTGTGCTGATGCATTGAGCCACCCCATCATCTCCTACTGTCCATTCACATTTTTTTTACAGAATACAAGACGTTCTGTGAATACAGAAGAGGGGAGGAGGGGTGGACAATGTGAGCCGCTGGTCTTGTTGATGCAGCACTGAAAGTACAGTGCTGGCTGAATTTTCCCAGATCAACTACATTTTTCTGGAGTCCTGCTTTAATTTAGTTATGGTTAGAGGACAATTAGGCATAAAATGCTTTATGTAACTTCAATGTTTTGTAATGTGTTCACCCACTGATATCCCAATCCTTGCTGCTTAGCCTGCCTCTGCCCATCTATGTTTTTTGCCAACTCCAATGGCTTCAACTGGAAACTGAGCAACACTGGGGCACAGAAGTGTAAATAACAGAGAGGAGAATGTAAGGGAAACATAGGGGTAAATGATGTTTAAAGCCATGCTTATGCAAGTTTCTTAATTGTTCCTCAGTCATATCCACTTTATACAGCACAGTTTTCCAAAATCGTAACATGATAGCAGGATTTCCTCCGCTGATCGAGGTTGGAATGAAAGGTTCAGGCAACTATGCAAAACCTTTACGTTAAGAATCTGCCCTCTGTATTTGCTCGCCACAGTTTTTAATCTGGCACATCCCCCAATGTGCAAATTTTTCTAATCTGGCACTTTATTCCACAAACCTCCAAACAAAGAATTATCCAAATTATATTGACACACCATGTAATCTAAACTTTAAAATGTACAGCAAATTAACAGAGCTTACATGGGACACAATCTTTAAATTTCTAATTCTATTCCCAAATAAGAACATACTTACCCATTGCTCTAATGCTATCTGACAGAATTTGCTAAATTAAAACATTTAAAAACAAAATTAGACCCTCTATATCTTACTCCCACATAACTAAGGAGAACAGATTGAAAGGTGCACCATAGGTCTATAAAATTGGAAAGAAAATAGAATAGGTCTGGTTATCTGTTACCATGGGAAAAGAATGGACAATACTTCCGCATCCAAAAACTATTTCATAGAACATCAGGCTGGTCAGTATTGAAATCTCAGCATATAGGTTACTGAACATACATATTTGGAGAACCAACAATATGTGTTCCACATTTGATAACAGTCATGTGCTGTATCTATATTTAGTGCATATACAACACCAGAGGCAGTATCAGATCCCACCAACCATGTAGAAAACGGATTGGTTAAATGCTGCTCTCTTTGAATTTTTACATACGATCAACTTAAGACAACAGAAATGCTGATGAAAATAATAAGTTACAGAATTTTAATTGCTTTGTTGATCCCTTCCTTAGGGGCCTGCACCATATTGCCATATACAGTAAGCCCCTTGTACAGAACATGGGGGTGATATTTACATACACAGACTTAATATATTCCAAAAATTCTGAAAGGAGTTAAACCATTAGAAGGCTACTCCCAACCCAACCAGCATCAAACTTTACTGTACCAAATAAATGGACTGTCTAAAAACTGTCATCACACTCCCGTGTACAAAGATAGAAAATAAATGTACAATAAAAAGATGGGATAAATTAAAAGAGGCTTCTTCGTCTTGAATTCTTCTCCGACTAATAAGGATGCAGCACTGTAGGCAGCCCAGAACACACCAAAGAGCTGCAACAGAAAAAACAAACATCTAATATTGGTCTCCAAACAGATGAGAAATCTTATACTTGTCCATTTTTTATATGCTTCAGCTAAATGCAAGAAATATGCACAGTGTTATAGTATGCATGAAGGATGACAAAGCAGGAGACACAGAAAATCCAATTATTTTTTTTTTTTAAAGTGTGGAATATGTTTTAAACTCTCTGACCCTTCATAAGAAAAAACACACCCACTTCAGAATCTAAGATGAGCAATAGTATTGTCTGCTGAATTTTCCACAGAAATATACGTAAAATCTGGCAGAGGTTGTAGGATATTACTCCTCGACACCGAGTCCGGATTTAAACTTAGGAATTGCAGTGTCATTTATCTTGAAATAACACCCCAGCGCAATAAGGTAACATACCAGTGTTGCAGTACAGAAAAATGATCATGGGCAGCACAGTGGCGTAGTAGTTAGCGCTTCTGCCTTGCAGCACTGGGGTCTCCGGTTTGTATCCCGGCCAGGTCACTATCTGCAAGGAGTTTGCATGTTCTCCCTGTGCTTGCCTCCGGGTACACCGCTTTCCTCCCACACTCCAAAGACATGCTGGTAGGTTAATTGGCTCCTCTCTAAGTTGGCCCTCTATGTATGCATGTGAGATAGGGACCCTAGATTGTAAGCTCCTTGAGGATAGGGACTGATGTGAATGTGCAACTATGTAAAGTGCTGCGTAAATTGTCGGCACTATATAAAACCTGAAATAAATAAAAACAAAATGTGCGATTTTGCACATGCTGGGGTGCGTTGTCAGTCCAATCACAATTAACAAGCTGCTTTTAACATAATGGGAGTTAACATGCCACACATGTAAATGGGCCCTTATCCAGTAGCCAGAGAAACACAGAGATGCATCTAACGGAGTCTTAGTATGACATAAGAAAAAATGAATACAACTGCAATACACAAACAATCCAAAAAGTTGCACTGAAAAAAAGAAAAAAATATGTTCAATTAAAAAAATACAATAAAAACTTACTTTTATTACTGTGGAAACAATGTCAAATGATCCAACCACTAGAAGAGCCGGGGCAATTACTATTAATGGAAGCAAGGAATATCCTATGACACCAAGGACCTGTCCATAAGCCACCTGTAATCCAGAAAAATCAAAGATTATAAAACAGGGTCCCTATCAGAAAGAAAACACAGATGTCACTTTTTGTTAACGGTGCATGTTCCAGGGCTGTCAGAGCCCCAGAGCAAGTACATATAGCCAGTGAAGTCTTAACTACTGTGCTGCATACTTGTTGAGGTCAGTGACTAATTAATTAGTGAAGCAGCATAAGAATGATGCATGGACAAACAATTGCCCTGAAATGTGTAGCAGAGGCATTAAAAGGAACATAGATTGAATGGGTATAACTGATGTTTTTGCACTAATTTTACGGGTTTATAATTTAATACACAGTCAACACATTTCATAGAACTTGTGGCCACTTCTTATCCAGTAAGGTGTACAACTGCTGCTTTTAGAGGTGATGCTGTGCTGCTGGAGTCTTAGGAATGCATTTATAAAAAAAGAAAAAAAAACCTTGGAGCAATTTGTCCTGCAATAGACTGTATATGTTAAATATGTGCGAATGAAAAACAAATGTTATTAGTATATTTTCTTTCCAGCTTGAACACAATATGAAAATACTACATTATGGCTACTAGACTATGCTGAGTCGCATAGTAAATAAGTAGTTATGTGCCGCCCCAATAGGGGCATAGAATATGAGATGCATAGCCTCAGTTAATATTAGCATTGTTATATAGGTTAGAATTTATAAAGTGTGATTTGCCTAACTATTTTCTCATAGCTAAATCCATGTGTTATCCTATGCTGCCATCTAGTGGCCTTTTGTTGTAATGTACATGTTTTTCTGTAATTATTCCTCATGTGACGATGTATTTTCCCCTAGTGTACGCCCCTTCCTTCTTCCTGTGTGCAGTACTTCCTGTGTCATGGCCACAGTTAAAAGCCACATGTAACAAGGACACACATGTGATCTGCACAGTACGTAATATTTTATTGCTAAATTGCAAAACGAGGGCGTGGCAGGGGGAGTGCTAACACAGTGGTGGTTCTATTGACAGCACTGGTAATAATCGGCCACTGAAAAAATTATAAAAGTATTATATAATTAAAGTATACCGAATTAAAAAAAAGTTAGGACAATCAAAGAAGCCTGAAAGTAAGTGAGGCCATGGGATAGTAGTTTTAGGTTTTTGGCTTTTATACACTTGGACATTAGGAGTCTATTAGACCCCTAATGTTACCCTGCACAGACCACGCTAAATTAGCATCTTCCCTGGCCACAGCGGACAGCTGAGCGCTTCCAGGTTTGTGCTTCACATATCAACAAATGGATGTTTGCTTATCTCCCACTGCTCTCTACCACGACACCCACAGGGAAGGGGTACAGCTGTTTAACAGTCTGACACCCTGGTGTCAGACTGATTTTCCTGTGGAGAAAATTTAAAAATTTCTAGGCTTCAGGCCTAATACTACCTTCATCAAAAAAATGAAGAAAGCCTGCAATGCGAGTCATAAAAATGTAAACACAAATACATCACTGCGCTTCTTAATTACCAATATAAATGCTAATCCCTTACAAGAGGTGGAAATGGATTTTACACTTTAGGCAGGTCTCCTGCCATTTTAAGTGCATTATTTTTAGCATTTCCATTAAACAAAATAAGCAACAATAAATAGTAATGGACACAGTGCTTACATCTCCACCAAGTACCCTGGCAAGCAGGAATATGGTTAGTGATCCAAATATCCAAATTGTGATAATCCAGGACACAACCTGAAAAAAAGAAAAAAAGTGGCAGGAGACACTTTATTAATGGAGGATTTCTGTTAAAGCCAGCATGAAAACTAATATAGGAATACGCAAACGTGGAAATGTAACGTCTGTGTATCCAAATTAATTCCTTCACACCATACATTTACAGAGGCTGCCTGCTTCTCGAATGCACTGCAGGAACTGCTACCTCAAGGACACTAGGTAATCTCAGACTTTCTAAAGCTTGTAATCCACATAGTGCTAGGCACAGGTCCAGCACCAATGTAACAGTGCCTGGGCCCAATGTCACATAGTATTTGTGCAAATGTTTATCAAACCAGTATTTTTAGCATAAACTACACTAACATAAAATTTAGTGCACAGAAACAGAATATAATACCCAATTTTTTGGTAAAATATAAAAGATGGGGTCACATCAGGTAAATAGATAGCAAACATGTCAAGGCTTAAAATTGCATGCGCCCGTAAAGCTGCAAAAAACTACAACAAAATTTCCCATAGGCGACGCTTTAAAGCTTTCACTGTTCATCAGTTTAGTGTTAACAATGATTGATGGCCCTAGAATTATTGCCTTCACTCCAATGTTCACAGCAATATGTAACATGTGTGGTGTATACGTCCACCAGCCTAATGTGGTTAAGAGGGTGGTCATAATGTTATGGCTGGTGAGAGAGAGCACGAGAATGCAAGAGAGCGCAATGGAGAGACTGATTTATATTTTTTAATAGTATTGGGTAACTTGAAGGCCAAACACCCACAGATTGTTGTGTTCCTCAAATTATTCTTGAACCATTTTTGCAGTGTGGCAGGGCACATTATCCTGGTGAAAGAGGCCACTGCCATCACGGAATACCGTTTCCATGAAGGGGTGTACTTGGTCTACAATCTTTAGTTAGGTTGTACAGTACATGTCAAAGTAACATCCACATGCGCTACTCAATTTGACTCTGACATACAAAAGTATGACAACTGGACATACAGAGACAAAAAAACTGTTTTATTTGTACTGTATTCAGTGACAACTCTGACTGCGGATGTGTGGGCAAAAATCAGATAAACCCACAATAACCAAGCAACAGTCAGATTAGTTTGAAAGTCTTAGAGATCATATAGAGCAGTGATGGCGAACCTTTTTGAACCCGAGTGCCCAAATTGTGACGCAAAATCAATTTATTTACCTCAAAGTGCCGGCGCTGAAAATAAGTTTAGTACTGTATTGCAGTTCGGGCGCACGGGTTTAAAGAAACGTTCAACATCACTGCCTTAAGCCCCATTCACACCAAGTGACATACCTTACAAGCGGATCCGCGACTGTTCGGGGGCGACGATCACGCGACCTTCACCGGCGTGCTGCATTTAAAAATAGAAAAATCGAGGCGGCTTTCCGCGGGGAAAAAGGCTCCTGCTACAGCAACATGGAGTAGTACATTAGAACAGCTCCATTGAATAACATTAGCCGGCAACTTTTCGCAATATCGCGCTGCAAAAATGCGGGATATCGCGGCAGAAATCGCGGGATTTTCGGCTCAGTGTGAATGGGGCCTAAGTCAAAATAGGGAAACACGCATAATCAAACATTTATACACTCAATAAAACACAAACATCACGCACATAATAAAAAACACACATATTACATACACACACACACACACAGAACTAATAATAAAAGTGAATAGAACATTGCCCCTTGCCCCCTCTCCTGCTTAACTGTTTTGCAGGGAGGTGGGCTGCATCCCTGTGCGGCTCTCAGGCAGGGGGGCTGTGCAGCTCCCGGTTGGAGGGCTTGTATGGCTCTCAGGATGGGGGGGGGCCTACGCGGCTCTTGGGGGGGAGGGGAAGGTTGGTTTGCACTCAGTAGGGAAGGGGGAAAGGCGGTGTGGCTCTCAAGGGGGATCCGAACGTCCTCTGTAGTCGGGCCGGTCACAATCAGGCAGCGGTGACCTCTAAAACAGGCAGATTAGATGGTCGCTCGCTGGGGCCTTCCGGGGGCCTAGCGAGGAGGAAGCGGCCGTCTAATCTTCTAATCTGCCTGTTTAGAGGCCGCTGCCTGATTTGTAACTGCCCCGGATCGCGTACTGACGCAATCCGGGCCGGTCAGATCTATTTCAATTGGTGGTCCTTGAACCTGGGCTCGCGTGCCAGCAGAGAGGGCCCCGCGTGCCCTCCCTGGTGGTTCGCCACCGCCGATATAGAGCCTTGGTCCTCAACTGGTGGGTCGTGACCCAAAAGTGGGTTGCGACCCTGTTTTCAGTAGGTCGCCGCGTGCCTTCCACTTTTCCAGGTCCTCAGCATCCCTCCTAGCCTAGCAAACTCAGTTCTTGTGCTGAGCAGCCATTCAGAATATGCCAGCTTAATGTGGGGTGGCCTGGAGCTATGGCCGCGAGGGAGCTTCATCCATACATGGATTGCTTACAGCTCCCTCACGTCCCTTGTAGAGGTGCCTGGACCAGAGTGGCGTCACATTCTGGCTCCTGGCACCTCTACAGGGCGAACAAGTGAGTTGTTCAAGCAATGCATGTATGGATGGAGCTCCGTCACAGCACAGCACTGGACCCCAAGCTTGGGATCGCCCGCACCGGAACACACGGTAGAGCAATGCCATCTGTTCCATTGCAGTACGACTTGGGTCGCTACTTAATGTCCAAGGACAAATGTGGGTTCTGAGGTTACACAGGTTGAGAACCAATGATAGAGTATAGGAATCTAAGGGAGATGGAGGGAGTACAAACTGTATGCAAATTGGACAACCATCTTCTTGTAGTAAATGGTTATACAACTTAATTATGTTTTTGACCAGTAAAAACTGATCATTTACTTTTGTACATGAGGGTCTCCTTTAAGTTTTAAATGCCCAATGGGGAACTCCCCACTCATAAAATTCCAATTAAACTATACTTACTCTGAACTGGCCATACAGTGAGATCATTGAAAAGAATAGAACAACTGCAAGTGGTCCCCAAAAGTCAGGATTGTCTCGAACTACTTGTCTGTTGAATCCAAGGGATGGCATTGGCATCAGAACACATCGAATTTTGTAGTAAATGTCTTTAAGGTCAATGTCCAACTCCTCCCTAGAATTAAGGAAAGAACACAACAAGAGTAAACATTCACACAAAGTTAAAAATAACTCAACATTGACAGGCCAGTGAATGTAATCCATCAAGCAGAAATACGGAGACACTTTGAAATCTAAAATTTATACCAACTTAAGCTGGGTATACACTGGCAGATTTTTGAACCTTCAATAATGCCATCAGAGACTTGTACAATGTTGTTCACAATTTTGTTTCATTTTAACATTTTTGAAATGACGCATCTCGAGTGAAAAATCACATTCACTGTTAGAATTTTGTTTGTTTGATATCAATTTTCCATCTTGCAATAGAAACTATGTAAACAAATGCTAAGGGCTGTTGCTACTTGCCTGTTTGCCTTCAGAAAAATGAAAATGTGTCTTCATATGGTTAATCAAAATCTATGCACTTGCAGCTAAGGGTGTCTTCAAAAACTGGATGTACTACATTTTTGTGCAATGTGGTGTGATAAACAGGTCCATTGTAATGACAAGCAAATACAGAAAAACATACAAATAATGCATTTTTGGTGGGTTTTTTAAACACATCTAAACAAAGGAAATGTGTTTTAGCATGCACAGAGGTGTGAAAAGTGTGTTTACTCAAATCATAACATTTTATAAAAACACATACAGTAAAGGTTTATTATCTTCAGGATCATTTTCTTCTACTTCCAACAACCATCCATATCCCCTCTGGCGAAGAAAAGTGGTGGCAGTTGACTCTCTATTGAAGTCTCCACCAAGGTTTAACTTAACATCAGGTGCCGCTATTGAGCCAGACAGATCTGTAAAAACATTAAAAACCAAAAAATAGGATAAGTTGCTAGTAGTTATGAATGTATTTGGCTAATGTGAAAACAAATATACAATAAAACATGTAAATGTTTTGCTTAAGATAAAAACACCAGAACAGATGTTTTCAGTTCAGTGGTAATGTTTGAAGGATACATTTAGGTCTTGTTCACACCAATTGCAGTGTGTTCCAGAGCTGTAGCTGCTGGAATGCACACCAATCGCTCACTAAACTTCCCCCTTCGTTCTGGGGGCGGAAGGGAGTGTGGGGGTGTACAGGAATTTTAGACCACTCTTCTTTCGCTAACTGCTCCAGGTCTCTCAGATAGGGAGGGCAATTTGTGTCGGCAAATTCTCAAAAAACTACCATACCCAAAATTGGCCATAGCGAACACTTACTGCTCACCAATTTAGTGTTATGATAGATAGAATAAATCTATATATAGATATGTACACTGAGTGGCCAGATTATTATGACCACCTGACGTTTGTAGGCAAATTAGCTATAATTTCACGCTGAAGTTGCTAGAGGGCCAGACCATTATAAATAGGGAAGCAGGTTGTTTACCACGACAGTAGAAGTGATTTTTTTCTGAAGATATGGGTAAACAACGCGATTTAACAGCCTTTGAACGTGGGATGATTGTTGGCGCTCGGAGCCATGGAGCGAGTATCAGCAAAACAGCAGAATTCGTTAAATGTTCAAGAGCAGCTGTTGTTAAAGTGTTTAAAGACTGGACTGTCAGCCGAAAATCTGGGTCTGAACGTGCGAATTGTGGCCGTCAGCGACTAGTCAATGTTAGGGCAGAATGGAGAGTGGCAAGACTGGTACAAGACAACAGAAGGGCAACAGTGCATCAAATTACTGCAGATCTTAATCAGGGATCCTCTCAAATGATCTCTGAACGCACTGTTCGCCGTACACTGCATCGTATGGGATATGGAAGCCGAAGGCCTGTTCGAACACCTTTGCTGTCTGCAGTTAACAAGATAAAACGTCTCCAATTCGCACAGGAACACAAGGATTGGACAGTCGAGCATTGGAAAAAAGTCATGTGGTCCGATGAATCACGTTTCCAGTTGCATCATGCAGATGGCAGAGTGAGAATTTGGCGGGAACAGCATGAAAGCATGCACCCCACATGCATGAGTACAATCCTTCAAGCTGGTGGGGGCAGTGTTATGGTTTGGGGCATGTTTTCCTGGCATGATTTGGGCCCTTTAATTTGCTTGGAACAACGTCTGAATAGCACAACATACCAAAGTATCGTTGCTGATCAAGTTCATCCTATCATGTTGATGGCGTATCCCAATGGAGATGGCTTCTTCCAACAAGACAATGCGCCATGACACGGTGCTCGTATTGTGCAGGAGTGGTTTCAAGAACATGAGGGAGAATTTACCTTGCTTAGGTGGCCCCCACAATCACCAGATCTCAATCCAATTGTTCATTTGTGGTACGGAGTTGAAAGAGCCATCAGGCAGCTGGTTTCACAAGCATCAAATCCCACAGAACTGGACAGTGCTATTCATTAGGCATGGTGTCAGATTCCTCGCATCACATTTCAACATCTCGTGGAGTCAATGCCAAGAAGAATCGCCGCAGTACTGAATGCAAAAGGTGGCCCAACGAAGTACTGATCTCTGCTTGCAGTACTTCCCATCCAGCGGTGTCTGCATGCAGGTGCACGCATCCATAGACTTACCTTGCGTCTCTGCTCGTCTCCCGGTCGAAAATGTGAACTGCGCATGCGCCCGCCTCAAGATGCTTTGCGGCCACCCAAGCAGTTTTGTTTCCTCGGACGTGAGCGCGCAGCGAAGATGGGGTAAGTTTAAACTGCTGTTAAAGCAGGTTTTTTTTTTTACTTTTTGCATATATCTACTGCTTGCTAGCAGATTCCATTCAGTTTCCATTCAGTTATTTTCTTCATATTCTGATGGCAGACACAACCTAAGCTTAACCGACCCGTGTTAGGTATATGGCAAATGGATGTAAACCAGGAAGCACCAGTTGTACATCCGATCCGTCGTGTTTAGATCTGAAAAAACAAACTCTTTGTTTGGTTTGTTTTTTCAGACCTAGATGGACTTTGTGGTAATGGGACAAACAGTCAGAGTAGGAGAGAGCAAAAAGCTGCACAGGTTAAATAACCCGTCTAGACTGATACTGATCCCCTCTGATAGCAGCAGCATCTATCTTATTGCCTGATCCATTCCCCTTCATTTTTTTAAATCAGATCGTTTTTATTGATTTTGCATAGTTTCAAGTAAAAAAAAAAAGATCAGAAAAAAAAAAAAAGAGAACACATGCATAACAAAATTCGACAAATAATGGGCCGCTAGCCAACGGCAAGGCACATTGAATAATAGCTACATTGTGAACAATGCCGAAATGTCACACGCATATCACAATACGAATAGCCAACACCACCATCAAGACCAAATGGATACTTATTAAGAAAATATACCATATGTAACAATAATATGCGGATTCATGATCCACTTAGTCAGGGAGGTCATTACCACGATACATCAACCATCTATCCCAGAGAGAGTGGAACTGAAGCAAGGCACCCCTCTGTTGAAAGGTAATGTGTTCGTAGGCAACAATCTTGTAAAGTTCCACCAGCCATATATTCAAAGTATGAGGGGAGGAGGAGGTCCATTTGCGAACCACCAATCTGGTCGCTGTAAATAGAGCACGCTTAAGGGCCAAAATTGTGTGATGAGTTAAGTCAGTAGTTTCAATAACACCAAGAATGCACACCAATAGGGAATTGAGTAGGGAGGAGGAGAACACAAGGTTAAGAGTATTTACAATCCTCTCCCAATACCTAACCAGCTTAGGGCATCTCCAGAGCAAATGAGGGGTGCCACTCTGGAAACCACATTTTGGACAAATGGGGTCAGCCCTAAGCCTGGTGCGAAACAAAAATTCAGGGGTGCGATATATTCTATGCATAATAAACAGTTGTGTCAATGTGAGTAGGGGACAAGGAAATCTAAGTAACCCCTTGAAGTACATCCTCCCAGGTATCATCTGACATAGGTCCCACATTGCCCTCCCAGCCATTCCACTTCATTAAAATAAACATGAAGTCTTCTTAGACCTCAGGATGGCAGGCTTCTCTCTACCCTATTGCCTCAGGCAATAGGTACCAAGAGAGAATGGTAGCAAGGTCATCAGCTGTCTGACTATGCTAAACAACTGTTGAAGGGGTCTGTCTTGGCCTGACAATTTACAGACTTCGAATGCATGTGTACCTCTGAGGTAAGAACCCCAAAAGCGATCTGGACCTTATATACTCTGCTGAGAGGGGCTCCTTACACTGGTAGACCTTTGCACGAGAAGTTCTAGGAACGTTCTGTAGACAAACAGTTGTCGGAGGCTGGCTGGACCGAAGCTTATATTTTGACTCATTCTTTCTCCATGTCTAGTCATTTTCAGGAGAGGAACTACAAAATTATTTTGAGATGGTATTGGTGCTCTACTATATTACACCGTATGTATCCGTCCTCCAACATTTGCTGGAGGTGCCATCAACATTGTGGTGACTATCTCCACGCTTGTTGAATAACTGGGGACATTCAGCCGTTTTGGCACTGAATTTTCAAGGTACAATGCAGGCTACTGAATTGGAGGGAACCCCTAAAGTGACTCTCCTTTTCATGCTCCCTGTCTCTTACGGTATCAAAAAAGACATTTTGAGTCTTGTAGTGGCTCGTATCGCAATCTCTAGACATTGGAAGTTGGCTACTCCACCATCTCTAGCTTCCTGGGCTGAGATTATGAATGACTTGATGCACATGGAAAGCTTGGTGGCTGAGAACCTGGATAGGACTGACCATTTCCTTCATACTTGGATGTAAACTTCTCTCCCCCAGGTGATTAGATATCAACATTGTAGGTAGTAAGTCACGTGGGGACAGCCTACAACAGGGGCTGATCTGATCTGTGAGAACACAGCTAGGAACTGTACAGGCATCAAGATAAACATGATAGTGTCATGTGAGCCCACATCCCTGTCCAGGAAGTAGATGCTGACCCTGTATAGTGCCTGAACAAAGATTGGGCTGAGCAAAGTAGATGAAAGCATTGTCAGGGAAGTACTGTAATCTCCGAGCGGTAATAAGTGCCTGTAAAACTTACAGTAAGACATTACTCAGCAAGCATTTACAATGATGTCGGAATTGTCAGTATCACCTGCTAGCAGCAGAAAAGAACAGAGGGGAAGGCAGAAGTAGTGTAAGTTTGGCTTTTTTTTTTTTCTAAGAGTTTGCTTTAAAGTGCGCCTGGTGACAAAAGTTAATCCAGCAGCATCCTAAAAAAAAAAAAAAAGGGTTATATTTAAAATGGAACTAGAAGG